AAATATTGATGTGAAGTAGAACTAATTTGCTGTCACAGAATTTCAAGATCAGGAACGGAGACACAAAATGAATGTAATGTTTTGTAAGAAGATTTATAACATGTTGCTCTTCATCCACACCCTCGTTTTTCTCGTATCCGTTATTTAATTTTGAAGTAATATGCAAATAAGGAGATTTGGTAAGATTACCAATGAGACAACTATCAACAAGAGCACAAATGACAAATATATAAGCAATTAAAGTTAAACCTTTTCACATCAAACTTAGACAATTAACATAGTTATATACATCGTATGTGGACAAGTCTTATTTTAAATCTTGTTCGACACAAGGTCAGCATACTTTTAGAAATTAATAGCAGAACAAGAGTTTTTTCATATATGTTTTCAAGAAGTGGTACATCAAACGCATGAAATTATACTTGACTTATATTACTCCTCAAGGTTGTCAATTGCATACATGTCATACGAAATAAGTAACAAAATTTTATTAATCTGGAAATCCTATGACAAATGTGGTTTTTTATTATAAATATAAATATTAAAGTAATGTCTAATCATTTGACGATTGACCCACTGTGAAATTCAGTTGACAAAATATACCTGAAATGAAATAAAAAAGAAATTAAGGTATACATAATCCAATTATATGAAATTCATTTCAGGATGATTTGCTGTATTCAAAATCACAGTACTGATTTGAGACAATGCAAAACGAAAGCAAATGACTAGCTGCGCTTAATTCCTAATCAATTAAAAAAAATATGTCTTTGAATTTTTAGAAGAGATGCAAATGATACCAAAGGGACATTCAAAGTCTTAAATGGTAAATAAACTGACAACGCCATGGCTTAAAAAGAAAAAGACCAACTGACAAAAACAGTACACAAATCACAACATAGAAAACTAAAGACCAAGCAACACGAACCCAACCAAAAACTGGGGGTGATCTCAGGTGCTCCGGAAGGGTAAGCAGATCCTGCTCCACATGTGTCACCCGTCGTGTTGCTCATGTTATTACAAACCCGGTAAAAAGTCTAATTCAGGAGGTCACATTCGCGAAAAGGGAACGGGATTGTAGTTACAACATAAGGAACATATCCGATATCATCTGTGAAAAGGATATTTTATAACGGTCAACCAACTCGTGATGGCGTCCGTAAGATAGTTTTACCTTGATAGACACATTTTTATCCTTTTCTTGGATTTGATGCTGTTCCATAGATAGTAAGATAGTTTTACCTTGAAAGATAGGGTTTATCCTTTCATTGGATTTAAAGATGTTCCATAGAGAGTAAGATAGTTTTACCTTGATAGATAGGTGTTTATCCTTTCATTGAATTTAAAGATGTTCCATAGAGAGTGAGATAGTTTTACCTTGATAGACAGGGTTTAATCCTTTCATTGGATTTAAAGATGTTCCATAGATAGTAAGATAGTTTTACCTTGATAGACAGGGTTTTATCCTTTCATTGGATTTGATGATGTTCCATAGAGAGTAAGATAGTATAACCTTGATAGACAGGGTTTTATCCTTTCATTGGATTTGATGAAATTCCATAGAGAGTAAGATAGTTTTACCTTGATTGACAGGCTTTATCCTTCCATTGGATTTGATGATGTTCCATAGAGAGTAAGATAGTTTTAGCTTGATACACATTTTTTATTCTATTATTGTATTTAATAATGTTCCATAGAGAATAAGATAGTTTTACCTTGATAGACAGGTTTTTATCCTTTCATTGGATTTGATGCTGTTCCATAGAGAGTAAGATAGTTTTATCTTCATAGACAGTTTTTTTCGTTTCATTGGATTTGATAATGTTCCATAGAGAGTAAGATAGTTTTACCTTGATAGACAGGGTTTTGTCCTTTCATTGGATTTGATGATGTTCCATAGATAGTAAGATAGTTTTACCTTGATAGATAGGTGTTTATCCTTTCATTGAATTTAAAGATGTTCCATAGAGAGTAAGATAGTTTTACCTTGATGGACAGGGTTTTATCCTTTCATTGGATTTGATGATATTCCATAGAGAGTAAGATAGTTTAACCTTGATAGACAGGGTTTTATCCTTTCATTGGATTTAAAGATGTTCCATAGAGAGTAAGATAGTTTTACCTTGATAGATAGGTGTTTATCGTTTCATTGGATTTAAAGATGTTCCATAGAGAATAAAATGGTTTTACCTGGATAGACAGGGTTTTATCCTTTCATTGGATTTGATGATATTCCATAGAGAGTAAGATAGATTAACCTTGATAGACAGGGTTTTATCCTTTCATTGGATTTAAAGATGTTCCATAGAGAGTAAGATAGTTTTACCTTGATAGACAGGGTTTTATCCTTTCATTGGATTTGATGATATTCCATAGTGAGTAAGATAGTTTTACCTTGATAGACAGGGTTTTATCCTTTCATTGGATTTGATGAAATTCCATAGAGAGTAAGATAGTTTAACCTTGATAGACAGGGTTTTATCCTTTCATTGGATTTAAAGATGTTCCATAGAGAGTAAGATAGTTTTACCTTTATAGACAGGGTTTTATCCTTTCATTGGACTTGATGATGTTCCATAGAGAGTAAGATAGTTTTACCTTGATAGACAGGGTTTTATCCTTTCATTGGATTTGATGAAATTCCATAGAGAGTAAGATAGTTTAACCTTGATAGACAGGGTTTTATCCTGTCATTGGATTTAAAGATGTTCCATAGAGAGTAAGATAGTTTTACCTTTATAGACAGGGTTTTATCCTTTCATTGGATTTGATGATATTCCATAGAGAGTAAGATAGATTAACCTTGATAGACAGGGTTTTATCCTTTCATTGGATTTAAAGATGTTCCAGAGAGAGTAAGATAGTTTTACCTTGATAGACAGGGTTTTATCCTTTCATTGGATTTGATGATATTCCATAGTGAGTAAGATAGTTTAACCTTGATAGACAGGGTTTTATCCTTTCATTGGATTTGATGATATTCCATAGAGAGTAAGATAGTTAAACCTTGATAGACAGGGTTTTATCCTTTCATTGGATTTAAAGATGTTCCATAGAGAATAAGATAGTTTTACCTTGATAGACAGGGTTTTATCCTTTCATTGGATTTGATGAAATTCCATAGAGAGTAAGATAGTTTAACCTTGATAAACAGGGTTTTATCCTTTCATTGGATTTGATGATGTTCCATAGAAAGTAAGATAGTTTTACCTTGATAGACAGGATTTTATCCTTTCATTGGATTTAAAGATGTTCCATAGAGAGTAAGATAGTTTTACCTTGATAGACAGGGTTTTTTCCTTTCATTGGATTTGATGATTTTCCATAGAGAGTAAGATAGTTTTACCTTCATAGACAGTTTTTATCGTTTCATTGGATTTGATGATGTTCCATAGAGAGTAAGATAGTTTTACCTTCATAGACAGTTTTTATCGTTTCATTGGATTTGATGATGTTCCATAGAAAGTAAGATAGTTTTACCTTGATAGACAGGGTTTTATCCTTTCATTGGATTTGATGATGTTCCATAGAGAGTATGATTGTTTAACCTTGATAGACAGGGTTTTATCCTTTCATTGGATGTGATGATGTTCCATAGGGAGTAAGATAATTTTACTTTCATAGACAGTATTTATCGTTTCATTGGATTAGATGTATTCCATAAAGAGTAAGATAGTTTTACATTGATAGACAGGGTTTTATCCTTTCATTGGATTTGATGATGTTCCATAGTGAGTAAGATAGTTTTACCTTGATAGACAGGTTGTTATCCTTTCGTTGGATTTGGTGATGTTCCATAGAGAGTAAGACAGTTTTACCTTGATGGACAGGGTTTTATCCTTTCATTGGATTTGATGATGTTCCATAGAGAGTAAGATAGTTTTACCTTGATAGACATTTTTTATTCTATCATTGGATTTGATGATGTTCCACAGAGAGTATTGATTGTTTTACCTTGATAGACAGGTTTTTATCCTTTCATTGGATGTGATGATGTTCCTTAGACAGTAAGATAGTTTTACCTTGACAGACAGGGTTTTATACTTTAATTGGATTTGATGATGTTCCATAGAGAATAAGATAGTTTTACCTTGATAGACAGGTTTTTATCGTTTAATTGGATTTGATGATGTTCCATAGAGAGTAAGATAGTTTTACTTTGATAGACAGGGTTTTAGCCTTTCATTGGATTAGATGATGTTCCATAGGGAGTAAGATAATTTTTCCTTCATAGACAGTTTTTATCGTTTCATTGGATTAGATGTATCCCATAGAGAGTAAGATAGTTTTACCATGATAGACAGGGTTGTATCCTTTCATTGGATTTGATGATGTTCCATAGAGAATAAGATAGTTTTACCTTGATAGACAGGTTTTTATCCTTTCGTTGGATTTGGTGATGTTCCATAGAGAGTAAGATAGTTTTACCTTGATATACAGCTGTTTTATCCTTTCATTGGATGTGATGATGTTCCATAGAGAGTAAGATACCACTCCTTTAGTTCCGCTGAAAAAGACAGAGGTTTAAATTCTCGTAAGCTCATAATTAAATGAAACATTATACTTTTACATTTTTACATTATTTTGTTCGAAAAATGCGGTACCAAGCCAGGATTTTATCAGTTATATGAGCGTTTGGTTTTGTCTGTTTTCATGCACGTGCTTTTTCAATTTTTTTTTTTTTTTTGAAAAAGACAGACTATACTGTTCTTGAAAGGAAAACGACAGACTAAATTGGACTGAAAGGGAAAAGACGGACCTTAAACATAGTTGTGAACTTAGCGCTATTGACTAAGGTAAGGAGGTTTTGCTCATAGAAAGACACATGTTGTTAATCAACAGGTTTGGGAATAAAAAGGTCCACGAGCTTATTTCATCCACGACATCAGTGGATTTCTTTTTAAGGTAAAAAGAATTTCAATTTGAGGAATAAACATATCAAAAAATAAAAAAGGGTGATTGTTGGTCGAAATTTTTGTTTGATCCCTTATTTACCAACTTTACTTATCTTTTCGAACACGCTCTAGAGATGACGGCTCATTGGCTGTTAAAGAAGACACAACATCTTAATATATTGATGAATAAATTATACTGTAAACTTCAGTTTTGGATGTCCGTATTCCTGCGGTTTTTTTTAACTCTTTGTTCCTGGCATAATAAAAATATACTTAGTATAGACTGTAATATGAACGACTATTCAACACATATAAAAAGAGAAAAATATCACCCTTTTGAACCTCAACTCATGGCGTATCACCTCATTGATGTCTCTTTAACCAAGAGTGTCAAAGGTCTACTTATTCGGGCGTCAGCATAGTTAACTGTGTTATCGTTTAAACTCCATGATTATAAAAATACAAAAAGCTGAAATGTTCAATTTTTTTATTAATCAACCGAGTTTGTGAATCAGTGTCAACTGTCAAAGACAGTGTCTCATAAACCAAATGATTTATCAAAAATTAGATGGCCGATAAGGCTTGACTGTGTTTCAACTCGGTGACAATCCGAATTCGCGGTCTTAGATCCTAAGCAGCATAATCGTCCAATCTGCGAAAATATCTTTTTTTTTATTTGCGGATTGTTATTTGTGATTAAGCATGGTATGTGATAAATGCATATCATGAGACGATTATCCTGTCCGAGATACCCGATGAAGGTCAATTTGAAGTCCATGCAATTTCCTAGTTTTGTTTTCAAATAAGATGCGTTAGCATGTTTTATCAGGGCCTTAAATGCCGACCGGCATTAAGAGGATAGGTGAGGTGAGGTGAGCATGTGCGCTAATAGGACAACTATCATTAAGAGACCTTAATTTGAGAGTCATGAATTCTCTTCAATTTCGTATTTTAAACTTTTTTGATTAGAGCGTGATTATTTTTTTGAAGACGAAACATGCGTCAAGCGTACACAATTTTAATCCTGGTATAAATGATGAGTTTATTTGCCTCTTCTTAACGTTATCATGATATTTGAAATTAGGAAAACTGATATCGTCTCTAGTAAAATTGAGAATGGAAATGGGGAATATGTCAAAGAGGCAACAACCCGACCAAAGAGCAGACAACAGCCGAAGGCCACCAATGGGTCTTCAATGCAGCGAGAAAACATATAAATAAACTAAAATTAAAAAACATACTAGACTAACAAATGCCAGAGGCTCCTGACTTGGGTCAGGCGCAAAAATGCGGCGGGGTTAAACATTCTAGTATTTGTTTCAATAATTGAATGATACATCCCCCTGGCTATCATACTGTTTAACTTTAATAAAACATTCCATTTTCCTAAAGGATTTTCTCCCCATAAATGAACAGCTTTGTAAGTCCAAGTAAAGGTGCCTGATTTTGTGAAAGTGACTAATGCGTCATTGATTCGTTGAGGAAGTAGAACTACTTTGGTCCCACTGGGAGACACCAGGTATACCTCAACTGCTCCTCTACAGCATGAGTAATTAAAACTCACTGTAGCCATTACATGTTCTAAATGACGAATTGGACAATCATTGCGGGAAACGTAAATTTTGCTTTTGGCTTTTGATCTTTCTTCTAAAGTCCTACAAGTAGAGTTAACATTTATAACTTAAGATTTAGTAATTTTCATATCAATTCAAAAAAATCCTTTTTTTCGCTGTAACAATTTTTTTAATCGACAATTACGCAAAATAGTGTTTTTTTGAACTAAAAAAAGCGTGACGACGTTATAATCAGCCTCGAAGCCGCACTTGGAAACTGACATGAAAATACTCGGATTTTGCTATATTTCGTCTTGTTTTTGTGTTGGAAACCAATTCTTTTGATAATACTGATTGAATACATATGCAGTTATATGACAAGCTTATTTCTAAAATAGAATGGTTAAAAATCAGGAATCCAGTTTAACTTTGTTTCCTTATTGTTTATTGCTCATTAAGAATGATTCATTATGGGAGAGCATCGCATCACAGGCAATTTTTGGTCTGTCAAAGATCAGTTGAAAATTACCGTTAAATTCACGAAAAATACAACAACCAGTTAAACATCTTAAAGTCATGACTAAACCTTGTTTTATCATTGGTCGACTTTAAATTAACAAAATTGTTAGTGATTGGTTGATAACATCATTCGCTCGCGAATCAGCCGGATGACACAAATAAATTACTGTCCGAGTTAGAAGCGGCCGGCAGATGCCCGCTAACAAATTGGACCTCAATATATTAGTAGTATAAATGTGATCCGTTGAACTGTTCAATCTCTTATAAAGGAGATTGCGGGGTTTATTTTTTCGAGTGTTGTTTTTTTTTTTTTTTTATCTAATTAGAAAATTGCACACTGAGTTGCTCTTCAAGTAAACAAAGTGTATTCTAACATATCTTCCTATATTAGAGTAAAAAACTAAGGGACTCGAAATAACATTTTCATATTCAATTTACCAACAATTAGAAAATGGAAGCGAAAACATTATAATAATAACACGACGCTAAGTTTTAACTTCTGACACTTTTACTTACATGTTTGGACTGCTGACTTTTGATTGCCAAGTTAGTTGTTCTGGAACAGTTTTCCACTCTATTGCCTTCTTAACCATAGCCTCAGCATTCATCAAACCGAATCCCATTCTGTAATTTAAAAGATTGATTTTAATAATTACTATATACAATTGATGTCATATTGATGCAACCATTATAACACAAAAACAGGGGAAAACCAAAAAAACCGGGGAGGGACGTAATCAAAACTATTCAAACGAAAAAAAACTAGCGCGGCCTGGTGTATTTTCAACACAAACACGAGGCCTGTTCGAACTAGTATGCTGTTCTCCCTCGACAAACGACTTCACATTGTGACTTGCAGCTGACAATTATCAATATACAGGAAACTAGATAATCGGTTTTTATTTATATTCAGAAATACCAAAGAACGATGGAACGTTCAAGTGTTACCATAACTCTCCCGAGACGAGCAGTCGACTCTTTTCGGTCTCAAAGAAAACCTAACAGCTCCTCAACTTCGTTTATTATTCGACCTTTTAACTATTTTGTTTGAACCACCACCGATGATAACCGATGAGTCTCGTGTAGACGAAACACGGGTCTGGCATACACATTTTTTTCATTAATTGTGAATCTCTCAGATCTGTACTTTGTTTGTTTAGTTTATATACTTGTTTATTGTGCTTCGCGTCGATCTGATGGGTCAGTCCTATGATTAACTGAATTTTATGGTTTGTTCTTATGTCGTACTGCTACATCAATGTATCAGATTATGGGAATGGTTTCGCACCAGCAAAAACTTATTTATCCTCGCCCACCACATTCTATATGTGCTTGTACCAAGTCAGGCGTCCATAATCTTTTGTCAGTGGTTTTCGTTTATTGCTGAAAATCATATTCACTTTTCGCTTATAATTGGGTTCATAAATCTGTGCGTTAGTTTACTCGTTAGAAATATTTAAGGATGTTCGCTCCTCTTGTTTTTGAATTTTTGTCAGATATTCGAAATCCTCTGGTTTTATCCATGTAGTGCCATTAAAAAAATTTGCCCACTAACCCCTATTTTTCTTTTTATAATTTGATTAAATATAGTTTAAAATGTCATCTTTGAAAATCTTATTAAATCCTTGTTATTTTTTCATACTTTTAGACAGAAAAAAGGTGCCAATGTTAAATGTATGAAAAATCTAGAGAGAATTATTTCCCGCCAAATTTTCAATGGCTTATATCTCGAAAACAAGCACACAGACCCTTCATTTTTATTTGCTTTTATAGTTCCTTTATTTATATACTATCAATTTATAACAGTCTTTTAAAAATTTTATTATTTTGAAACAGAGTAGCGAACATCCTTAAAACTATCAAACACTCTTTTACTCTCAAACTGAACACTAAGTTCTGAACACCAAATTCAGTTTGAAAGTTAAAGACCGAATTGAGTCAATGAAAAAAACCTTTGTTGGTATATAATTCACGTTCCACTACATATATGATGCGCATGATATGGCATAGAAGTGATAATACTACGACATTGAGATTCATCTTGGACGAAACAGTGAGGTTACCAGTAATCAACAATACATATTTTACGATAGCAATATTTATACCCTTACATATTACTGATCACACTTGACTAATTATACCATTACATTTGACTGATTATATCCATTACACTTGATTAATCACACCATTACATTTGACTGATCATACCATTACATATTATTGATTAAAGCATTACATATTACTGATTATACCATCACATTTGAATGATTATACCATTACATGTAATTGACTATACCATTACAAATGACTAACCATAGAATAACATATTACTAATTATACAATTAAATTTGACTGATTATACCTTTATATATGACTTATTATACCATTACATGTAATTGATTAAACCATTACATTTGACTAATTATACCATTATGACTTTATTATACCATTACATGTAATTGATTTTAACATGACGTTCTTCAAACGCTTTGAGTACACACCCGTGGTAAAATATGAATATATTGTTTCGGCTGTTCCGATCGTACTCCCGCGTCATATGCTTTTTTATGAACGAGATACCCGACGTCATAGAACGATGACGTAAGAATATAAGCATTTTACGGGAAAATACACGCATGTGAAACCGAAAATTCTCACAACAAGGAAACGTAAACAAAAGATGCTAAAATGTGTTATATAAGCCATTTTTGTATACATATAAGACATATAAGTACAATTATCATTTAGATTCATTCAAACCTATCTAAATATGTTATTGTAAATAGTTTACGCATGTCATTTATTCAGTTTGCTCCGGTCTTTTACGTCAATTTGATAGTGCGTTTATTTATGGGAACGGCAAATAATGCCTTCATCTAGAGCCTATCGATCCAAAACAATTGCCGTATTTGTCCTATTAGAATCGAAATAATTCATGGGGCTTGAATATATCGTGATTTTACCACGGGTTGTCCCTTTATGCCGATATTTTACCCCTCGCAATAAAAATATTTGTCATAAAGGGCCAACCCGTGGTAAAATCACGATATATTCAAGCCCCCATGAATTATTTCTTAATTATATCATGACATTTGACTAATTAAACCATTATGATTTATTATACAATTATATATGACTGATTATACTAGTACATGTAATTGATTATATCATGACATTTGACTAATTATACCATTATGACTTATTATACCATTACATGTAATTGATTATATCATGACATTTGACTAATTATACCATTATGACTTATTATACCATTATATATGACTGATTATACTAGTACATGTAATTGATTATATCATGACATTTGACTAATTATACCATAACATTTGACTGATTATACCATAACATTTGACTGCATTTAACTGCATGACATGATAATATCATAAATGGAGGCAACAGTAGTATACCGCTGTTCAATAGTCACAAAACTATTTAGCTAAAACAAATCCGGGTCAGAAAACCAAAACCGAGGGAAGCACATAAATAGAAAATGATGATGTTATAAGAACTACAAACCCCTAAAGCCTGCTCCAGTACGTTGCCATTTGTTCTCAATATTAAATCTATCCTTAAATCCGTATGGTTTCGAAGTTCTGACTATTAAATGCTGAACATCTCTCCAGGTAAGATCATTGCTAGAAAATGGGAAATTTTTAGAAGCATGTTTACTTGTTTCACCTTTGTTCCATGCAATACTTCAAGTAATCCTTTTTGTTTTAGATTAATTGATTGGTGGTAGTACAGTATACATTATCACAACTGGTGTTAATGTATTAAAAATATTTGCAAAATAAGGTTAAGGTCTTTGAAGACGTGTTATTTAGTGATATTGTGTGTTGCTGTATATCATATTTGTTTCTAGTTTGATGGTTTGTACAAATGTACCTAAATCAGTCCGTTTGGTTTAATTCATTGAATCATTTCAGGGTTTGAAATAGCTTGTCTTGCCATATGGGATTTCCTTATTTTTCAAGTCCATATGATGACTAATGGTTGCTTATATCAATTTCATTTTCGTCTCTAGTGAATAGCTGTCACATTGGCAATCATATCACATCTCCTTTTAATTTATATATGACAGGAGACGCTACCCCTGTCGTAACATCCAGTCTTGCTCCGTTTTGAGTCCATGCGAAACCATCAACTTTAGTTTTTAAATGCATTTGTATATTTTTACAGGAATCTCGAGAATTCTTTTGAAAATTACGTTTCAAAGAGACTGGCTTGAAAAAAAATTGTTACATTTCTTTGAAAATCAACTTAATCTAGAAAAAGTGAAAAATAACTAAAACATTTCATAAAAGATTGCACATCTTCAACATTTGTGCAACCTGTATAAGTTGCAAGCAACCGGTTAGATACTGTTATAAAAATTAATTTCACAAAAATCTTACCATCTTCTGTAAATTTTACTGAAAAAATTTGAAACCCTTAGTTGGGGAAAGGGGAGGAAAAGTTCCTCAACATTTTCATAATCCAGGTGCAATCGTTCAATAGATATGGGTAGGAAATGTTTGGGGAATTGATAACAAAAAATAAATATCTACTTTGTAAATGTTGTTGATAATTCACAATGTTCCCAAGCATTGCAAAATGAAAAAGAAATAATCAAAAAATAATTTAATAGCAGGTGCACCATTTAAATCTTTCTGTGAAATGACAAGGATTTTGGAAGAAAACTGTAGTACATGTTGATTAAACAGTTTAGGTACCTTATTCTCAAACACATCATCATTCTTAAAGCAGGTTTTGGACTATTTCCAACCCGTCAAACAAAAAACAAAAACTCGTCGGAGAGACGACTAAGTTTTTATCTCCCTTTTCTGGAAGAATACACAAATGAAATAAAAGCAAATGTCTTAACTCTAACAACAAAATGAGATATGTGTACAGCTGAAATGAAAGAATTTTCCGGATTCATATTTTACGAAGATGTGCGGATTCAGTATTAAAATCAACATGCAACTATTACGGAGCACCACCCTTTTCACGTGATCCCTGTCATGTAATTCCTGTCATCGTCACATTCTTAAATTGTCTTGTTTATCCCTTCGGTATTTTTCAGACTTTAATGAAACTTACTTTGCCTCTAATGCAAGTGCGATGATTCCTACTGCAATTGGAGCGGAAAAAGAAGTGCCTTGTAAACCATCCTTACACCCAGAATTAGTAGAAGTTGATGTCTGTAAAGGTTGAAAATACATATTGTTGAAATAAAGGTTTAACTGTAATTTTTACATGGTTCGGCGTGGCTTAAATTTGTATGATCATCTGATTGATTTGTAAATTGGACAATTCTCACGAATTCCTTCTCGTGAAATATCTGATTGAGTTTGAATTCTGAGGGTTGTCAATGACTGCAATGCAGGAGAAGGTGACCTGTCACTGCATCAGTCTCGTTCTGGTTTGCATACATTACATCATGTTTTAGCTTGAGTATAAGAGATGATTTAAGAGTTTTGAACAGAGGTTAACAATTTACAGTTACCTATCATTTGCATTTAAAAAAATCTGGTCTGTAGCGTTTGCCACCTTTCCATGTCAGATTAAATAAGTGGAGCCATACATTTGATATAACCCCCGGTTTTTCGTGGTGGTCATGTTGCTCAGTCTTCAGTTTTCTGTGTTGTGTTTTGTATACTGTTGTTTGTCTCTTGATCGTTTTTCGTTTTACGCCATAGCATTGTTTGTTTGTTTTCGACTTTTGAGTTTGAAATTTGTAATCTTTCGCCTCTCATTTGTAAGTAATGACATAATTCATAATAATACTTCTAAAATTCCCCGTTGATAAATTAAGAGCTATTTCGAAACTTCGAAAAATTTATGGTTAATATATGCACTTATACTTCGGGATATTTCAGGTTAAATGCAATATAAATATAATACGCTAAAGAGAGGCGGGAGCTATTAAAGGGAGGCGAAAGATACAAAAGATAGGAGAAAGATATCAAAGGGGGCAAAACCATATATATTGCGAAAAAGACAAACAACAGTCCACCAAAAAAACAACATAAAGATAAAAGCAACATGAACACATCAAAGACCGGGTTGATAGCAAATGGTAAAAGTATCTAATGAATATTAAATGAAATGAGTCATTGTATTATGAGGATTAAAAAATTAAAAAGTATAGGGTTTAATAATTCATGACACAAAACTACTGCAGGCTCTTGATAGGCAGAGTCTTTAACATTAGTGAAAACAGCCACCAAGCGATCTGCTTTTAACATCTAGTTGAAACGAGGGTTACAGAGCATTAAACAGGTTAAGTGGTTAATCTATAGAATCTATTAGATTGACTATAATGTGAGTAAATAGAACTTGATGGCTTATTCTGACATTGGAGAAAAACACCATCGACTACCATAGCATTGCAAAGATGTTTTTAAAGATTATAGTATTTCAATTGAAATTTCCAAATTGAACAATGTTTTAACACAGGAAACTAATGCTGCCTTGTTTATAATTACCAGAAATCTGTCAAAAGCGCTTCCTCCATAAGCACTGGCCAATATACAGGATCCTATTTCTCCATACCGAGCAACATAGTCGTAACCAACGCTTTGTATAGCGATAGTATAAATGGTTGTATGAACGGACTTTGTATTAGGTGTTGCAATTGAGCCACTATTTCCGGATGCAAAGACATGTATATTACCTTTCCCTTGTCTTCCCTGCAATCAGAAAAAAAGTATTCATCAAAGAAAGTCCCGTTTTATTCATCCAAATATGGAGAGTACAGGTTTTACTGTAAATGTGTATAGTCAAGTTTTCTTCGCTTATAACCTTATAACCAGTAGAAATGCAAAGCAAATTTCTCTTTTCAGTTTTAAAATTTAAAACCACTGACTTTACCATAAATTGCGTTATTCTAGAATACGATAATAACGAAAATTACCAATTTTACAATGATTTTACAATGATTGATTTAGTATTCTTTCTTCTAAACTCTCTTTTTTTTATGTGATTTTCATAGTTATTTAAACGCTTGCAATAAAATTTTTGATAAACTTACATATTTTGCCGCGTTTTCAAATGCTGCTTGACGCAATGGTCCTAATAATGAATAACTATACGTTCCAGGTGGACCATAGCTATTACAGTAAATGTCAATTGTATCATACATATGAGATAATGATCTGGCATATTGCGAATCTGTTAAAATATTAGGGCCATTCAAGCCTAGTAATCCAATAGCTGAAAAATATAGGAAAAACGTAAATTTGTAAATTTATATATACAGTAAAAAATTAGACGTGTCCATAGGCCCGGATCTTAGTTATAATGCTATATAATAGATATAAGAAGATGTGGTATGAGTGCCAAAGAGACAACTCTCCATCCAAGTCACAATTTGTAAAAGTAAACCTATATAGGTCAAAGTACGGTCTTCAACACGGAGCCTTGGCTCACACCGAACAGCAAGCTATTAAGGGTCCCAAAAATGACTAGTGTAAAACCATTCAAACAGGAAAACCAACGGTCTAATCTATATATATATAAAAAAACCGAGAAACGAGAAACGCTTATGAACCACATCAACAAACAACAACCACTGAACAACAGGTTCCTGGCTTAGGACAGGTGCAAACAAATGTAGCGGGGTTTCAACGTTTTAATAGGTACCAACCTTCACCATTACCTGAAACAATAGTGTAACATCATAACATAGAAAGACACACTATGAAATATCAATTGAAATGGCTTAACTCAATCAAAAGACATATTAACACAAACAAGTGAACATACACTGAACGAATACATTTGATCTATGACACAATGTAAATACAAAATCAATAAAATATGGGGTGAGATGTTAAACAATATCAGAACGACAACCATAACCTTGGACAAAACGCCGCCAAATAAAATAATGTGCTCAGGTAAATGAAAATAATTTTGTTGTAAGGTATACAGTAATGGAGAACGGAAATATTTTTTACAAAATAAATAATTTTGTTGTTCATAGTACGAGAACAGAAGTGAAAATTTATAGTCATACCAAACACTTATCAAAGCTGGTATATATTAAAAATATAGAGACGAGATATAACGCTAAATAAGTAAACATTAAATAACAAAAAAGCATTACAAATTGTATCGACATTTCAAATTAACACGAAAGTACGATTTGATAAGTCGTGATAAGTGAAAAGCTACATGATGAGGGTATGTTGATTGATTATTGTTACGGATTAAAATTTGAGTGAGGTGTGCAAAGCTGAAAACACATAACAGCCTAGTAGAGTTTTGAATAGACAAGGAATCTCCAAATGGTGACATTTTTTTTTTATTGAAATGTACGACAAAAACAACTGAAGCGTGCATACAAATGTACAAGTTTTTACCCTTTTTGTGTTTCGGACAAAAACTTTAGTAAATAGAAAGAAACTGATACAATAAAAAATAATCTACCAATATGCGTGCATGCCCGAAATTCGCACATAATTCCGGAAGGACAATGTTTACGCTTTAAGTGTTTTAGCGAGATAGAAAAAAATTTAAAAATAAATAAACCGATCAGCATGATAAGGTTTGCTAATAATAAGACGAATGAGTTAATTTGTCTGTCTACTTCTTAATTTAACGTAGATAAAGTGAAAAAAAATAACACTAAAAATTGTGTGAATCCTCAACGCTTTTCGTGGTATCCTTCACCGAGAGCGTACATACCCCACAAATTTAAAAGACAAGATGTACTAATATATATATTAGGATACGTTTTCCTGATTACCATTGAAAATCTTTAACTATCTTGATTTTAAATGGAAAAGTGGAGTGGAATGTTACGAATGGATATGATGGGAAAATATATGAGATAAATTTAATTAACGTGTTGTTAATCTATCAAACTCAAACTGTTCAGAATGTTTGAATGTATACATAATTACAGAAATATAGATTCTACTGTTCAGAGTGTGATACATGTACTATAGGTCGTCATTAGGGATAGTTAGATTTTTATATTTAAAAAACGAGGCTTGCCGAAAGTTTTTAATATTTTGAAGTATAACTTGTCGAAAGTGGTCAAATATCGTCTTGCACGATGATCGATGTAGAATCTGTTTCTCTAATGATTGTAAGATATGCTATGTAGGTAAACTTTAAAAAGGAATTTAATGATCTGCAAATTTTTTTTTCTTTAATAAGTTGATATGGTTTATACATACAGGTTAATTACATTTATAGAGAACAAATAAAGGCAACAGTAGTTTGCCGATGTTCCAATCTCATAATTCGGTTGAGAAAAACACAAATACAGGCAACAAACACAAACAGAGGGAAACGTATGAACTCTATAAAAAGAAGTGTGATCGAGTGTGTCGACATAGTAGGCGTCTCTTTTTGTGCATGGGGGTTAGTAGTGGTAAGCGTCTCCTTTTGTGCAAGGGGATTAGTAGTGGTAAGTGTAGACAAAAGTTTTGGTATAACTGCAAAATTGTAAAGATTTTGATTGAGTGATATTTAGTATCTGTTTAGAATATTAAAGAATACACATCTGATTGGCACCTCTGGTTTAACAAACCTCATTGTAATTTTTGTGTATACCATCTTTTACCATACATAGAATTGTGCAAGAGAGTGCAGTATTTATATCATATTTGCAAAAAACAGGAGTATCAAATACTATGTAATGTCAAGAACGCTTTGTATGGAATACATGGCCGGTCAACATGTGACGTCCTACCACCAAATGAGTTTTCATTCGGATACAACAAAACGAACTACTAAAATATAATAGATTTAGAAATTACGGCCATGATGATGGAAAGGCGTTTAACGTTCAATGACAAATGTAAAAAGTAAAATCACAAAAATATTGAACTCCGAGGAAAATTCAAAACGAAAAGTCCCTAATCAAATGGCAAAATCAAAAGCTCAAACACATCAAACGAATGGATAACAACTGTCTTATTCCTGACTTGGTACAGGCATTTTCTAATGTAGAAAATGGTGGATTGAACCTGGTTTTATAGCTAGCTAAACCTCTCACTTGTATGACAGTCGCATCAAATTCCATTATATTGACAGCGATGACTTTCAGGACGAAAGTATCTTATTGCTACTAAGTAACTATTACGAAATGTAATTTAGATGGATGATAGTCAAAATAAATCTCAGGTTCTCTTACCTATTAGTGTTGCATTATATGCAACACCTACAGCACAATAGTTATTCCCCTTTGTTGCACCTATAACACCCGCAACTGATGTTCCGTGACTAAAAGAATACAAAATATCATTTATTCATGCGTCACCAAATGAGCCTTACAATTGGATGAAGCATTGAATTTGTATAAAAACCATGGAATTTAACTTCTTCATGAGCAACGCAACATGCCTTGTCTGTAAGCACGCAACTCCTTTTCCTACATTGCTTCAAATTCAACCATAAGGTTGATAAAGCGATAATCTGTGTGTGTGTGTCTGTTCCAAGTCAGGACCCTGTAGGTCAGTGGTTGTCAATGGTTCATGTCTGTCATATTTATTATTCATTGTTACATTTTTTTTTCAAGTCGTGGTCTTTTGTAGCCACTATACGGTACGGGTTTACACATTGTTGAACGCCTTACGTTTGCCTATAATTGCTTACATCCTCTTCATTTGAACTTTGGTGGATATTTGTCTCATTTACAATTATACCACATCTCCTTATTCTTAGATATAATTTTTTTTCTTGATGCAAATCTGTACAGTTTTCTTTGTCATTTTCCCTTTTTCCCTTTGGTCATGGGTTCATTTTTTAATTAATAACTCATAACACATAGCCAAGAGGATAAAAGAGCAGATTGCTACCCAAGAAAATATTGTCAACTGGAGGGGAGGGGTCGAATCCAAGGTTGACAATGTTTTTTTCGAAGGTTAACAATCTGCTCTGTATTATTTAATTTCTTATAATGAATATTCTGTCAAAGAAGTTATCTATTGTATGTAACAACGATCCGTCTTTAATAAAGGGCATATATAATTAATCAATGGTAATAGAGTATTAGCCATAGGATAGAGTAAATTATCTCCTTCGCTTTAACCAATCAATATATGACATTTTAACATGAAGAATGATAAATCTTTATCTCAACCTAAAGGATTGACCAGGGTATTGTGGACTTCTCTGATAGGATAAAAAAAAGGGCCTAATGTGGCAAAATGAAAAACATAATTTCTTTTCCTTAAATGTAACTTCTTTATTAAAATGACAGTCTAAATTCCTTTCAATTTCTATTCGGGTTGACCCACTTTCCAGAAAAAAGATATTTGCCACAGAGCTTAAGGCAAACACCAAACAATCATAATTACATCTCAAAATTTCCCGACTAAGTATGTTGTTCGTCAATGATTGAAACTGACAGACAATAACTAACTCAATCCCGCCATTTTCTAAATATATTTGTCGACTTTTCAAGTGTTCGTCCTTGTAGTATAACCCGAAGAGTTGTCTGTCTTTTTTTGTCTGTCCTTGTCGTTTTACCCATGGAGTTGTCTGTCCTAGTCGTAATACCCATGGAGTTGTCCGTCCTTGTCGTATAACCCATAGAGTTGTCTGTCCTGGTCGTATTACCCATAGAGTTGTTTGTCCTGGTCGTATTACCCATAGAGTTGTCTGTCCTGGTCGTTCTACACATAGAGTTGTTTGTCCTTGTCGTATTACCGGTACCCGTGCAGTTGTCTGTCTTTGTCGTTTTACCTATGGAGTTGTCTGTCCTGGTCGTAATATACATGGGATCGTCTGTCCTTGTATTATCCATGGAGTTGTCTGTCCTTGTCGTATTACCAATGGAGTTGTCAGTCCTGGTCGTACTACCCTTAACGTTGTCTGTCCTTGTCGTATTACCCATAGAGTTGTTTGTCCTGGTCGTACTAACCATAGAGTTGTCTGTTCTTGTCGTATTACCCATAGAGTTACTTGTCCATGTCGTACTACCCATAGAGTTGTCTGTCCTGGTCGTATTATCCATAGAGTTGTCTGTTCTTGTCGTATTACCCATAGAGATGTCTTTCCTTGTCATATTACCCATGGAGTTGTCTTTCCTTGTCGTAATACCATTACAGTTGTCTGTCCTGTTCGTATTACACGAGCTATCTGTGCTGGTCGTTTTACCCATGGAGTTGTTTGTCTCTGTCGTTAAACCCATGGAATTGTCTGTCCTTTTCGTATTACTCATAGAGTTGTGTCCTGGTCGCATAACCCATAGAGTTGTCTTTCCTTGTCGTAATACTCTAGGAGTTGTCTGTTCTTGTCGTTTTACCCGTGGAGATGTGTTTCCTTGTCGTAATACCCGTGGAGTTGCCTGTCCTTGTCGTTTTACCCATGGAGTTGTCTGTCCTGTGCGTATTATCCATAAAGTTGTCTGACCTGGTCGTATTATACATAAAGTCGTCTGTCCTTGTCATATTACCAATTGAGTTGTTTGTCCTTGTGAAACTACCCATGGAGTAGTCTGTACTTGTCGTTTTACCCATGGAGTTGTCTGTCCTTGTCGTATTACCCATAGAGTTGTATGTCCTTGTCGTAATACCGGTACCCGTGCAGTTGTCTGTCTTTGTCGTTTTACCTATGGAGTTGTCTGTCCTGGTCGTAATATACATGGGGTCGTCTGTCCTTATATTATCCATGGAGTTGTCTGTCCTTGTCGTATTACCAATGGAGTTGTCTGTCCTGGTCGTAATTACATGGAGTCGTCTGTCCTTGTATTACCCATGGAGTTGTCTGTCCTTGTCGTATTACCAATGGAGTTGTCTGTTCTCGTCGTATCACACATGACGTTGTCTATTCCTGTCTTAATACCTGGGCCATGGAGTTGTCTATCGATGTCGTTTTACCCATGGAGTTGTCTGTCCTGGTCGTATTACCCATGGAGTTGTCTGTCGCTGTCGGTTTATCATGGAGTTGTCTGTCCTGGTCGTATTACTCATGTAGTTGTCTGTCCTTGTCGTACTAGATTGGAGTCTTCCTTTTTTCTTATTTTATTCCCACGCCTTTCTTTAACTTGTTTTATTTTTCTGTTGTCCTTTACCCTCTAAGCAGTAAATCCCTTTAACCCTAACCATAAGAGGTACTTTTAGAATTGTTTACAAGTAAGTCGTTTTTGGTTTAAATGGTTTCTCCCTTATATGTATTCATCATCTTACTATAAGGTTGAATCTTGCGGGTTCGGGTCGTCGTCATCGTTGTAATAATCATATGAACTTGATTCATCCTACAAAATAGTTCTATTGTTAAAAAAGATAAGAAACAAATACGATTAGATATGATAAGATGAGACAAGATAAGATATGGTCCAGTAAGATACGATAAGATACGACAAGACAAGATAAGACAACATAAGACAACATAAGATCACATGAGATAAGATAAGATAAGATAACATAACATAACATAACATAACATAACATAACATAACATAACATAACATGAGATAATATGAGATAACATAACATAACATAACATAAGATCAGACAAGACAAGACAAGATAAGATAAGATAAGATAATATAAGATGCGATAAGACAAGACAAGACGAGATCAGATAAGATTCCATTAGAGGACTTATGATGGGCATAATCAGTACAGTGATTACAATAACAATACATCTAAAAAAAGGTTTTAAAGTCAAGTTAAACATTATCCTGTGAAAAGGTCACTACTATTTTTTTAAACAAAATATCCTAACTTCCTGCTAAGTTGTGTCTTTTGATACTTTTCATTTCTAAGTTGATTGCCTATTCCCAAAACTACAAACGTTTTATTTTTTTTATTAATACCATTGTCGTAAATTTTCAATTATAACCAGAAATGTCTTCTTTCTTATAAAGTGTGAGGTAGATTGCATGCTCAACATGTAAAAAAAGAAAAAAAGAAAATAAAAGATATGTATCTTGAGACAAATCTTACTGTTGCTTGGTTTGGTAGCCAAAGGAATTATCTCACCATATTAGTAGGATCGGTATGTATATTAAGACAATTTGAAACCTCACTTTTGCTTGGTAAGGAATTAAATCACCATGTTAGTCAGATCGGTATGTATCTTAAGACAAATCTAACTGTTGCTTGGTAACGAACTAACTCACCATATTAGTCAGATCGGTATGTATCTAAAGACAAATCTGACTTTTGCTTGGTAACGAACTAACTCATTATATTAGCCAGATCGGTATGTATCTTAAGACAAATCCAACTGTTGCTAGGTAAGGAACTAACTCATCATATTAGTCAGATCGGTATGTATCTTATTTAATAAGACAAATCTAACTTACTCATCATATTAGTCAGATCGGTATGTATCTTAAGACAAATCCAACTGTTGCTTGGTAAGGAACTAACTCATCATATTGGTCAGATCGGTATGTATCTTAAGACAAATCTAACTTACTCATCATATTAGTCAGATCGGTATGTATCTTAAGACAAATCTAACTGTTGCTTGGTAACGAACTAACTCATCATATTATTCAGATCGGTATGTATCTTAAGACAAATCCAACTGTTGCTTGGTAACGAACTAACTCATCATATTATTCAGATCGGTATGTATCTTAAGACAAATCTAACTATGGCTTGGTAACGAACTAACTCACCATATTAGTCAGATCGGTATGTATCTAAAGACAAATCTGACTTTTGCTTGGTAACGAAATAACTCACCATATTAGCCAGATCGGTATGTATTTTAAGACAAATCTAACTGTTACTTGGTTAGGAATTAACTTGTCGTATTAGTCAGATCGATATGTATCTTAAGACAAATCTAACTGTTGTTTGGTAACGAATTAACTCACCATATTAGTCAGATCGGTATGGTTTGTTTGCATCAACGTGTCTATTACACCAACTTTGATACCTTTTCCTGTGTAGCCTAAGGCCCAAGCTTCTTGAATGTTATGTGGGTATTTCATTACACCGTTCTGTAAAATAAACAAAATCTTCTTTGAAGTACAGCCATCAATCTGAATAAAAAAATGTTTCTTATTTTGTGCTATGAAGTCGTAAGGAGATATTATTATCATTATTATTATTATTTTAAATTTTATTATCATCATTCTAGACTGCATTTGGAATAACACTATACAAAACACACATCAGTATATTGTAAACATGTCTTTCAGATACGAAATGACTACATAAGAAATATCACAACCCTTTTAGCAATAATTACGTACTAAATGCCACATATCAGTCAACTCAGGGTCTAGATTTGCTGTGTCAGCATAAGGCATATTGATTTCCTTCCTGTCTATCTCCAGAAACTCGACCTAAAAATGAAACACAAATATGAATTTAAAAAAACCATCTTTATAACATAAACTGACTACCTTTCTGTTGTAATATATCGACCTGTTGTAATATATCGACCTGTTGTAGTATATCGACCTTTTGTAATATATCGACCTGTTGTAATATATCGACCTGTTGGTCATGAACTTAAGATGTATCTATTTTTTAGTCGCGGGGTTGCTCATTGATATAAAAGCCACATCATTGAAAGGACATCATTAACCAATATGAATTTAATTTTCATCTAAAAGAATTACAATTTTCCTTCAACTTCTATTTTGTTTAGGTTATAAAGTCTTTTGTTTTCATTTTTCTTTTAACTTAGGCCAAAATTTCAGTTTTGAGTCATCTCAATACGTCACTTTCTGAATATCTTTAGTCTGCAAACCATGTCCAATTATGTCAGTACATGCGACTCCGATTGTCTACGCACTATGAGTCATTATTCATTCTGTCAGTTTATGAGACTCCGTTTGCCTATGCAAAATGTCCCTTCCTGTCAGTTCATGAGACAACGTACCATGTCCCTTTCTGTCAGTTTATGAGACTCTGATTGTGCACGCATATATATGTCTGACAATGTCTCCTTATCCTAACCCTGTTTATGATGCTCATCATATTGTCTATGCACCATTTATTATTTCGTCAGTGTATGCGCCTCCGATTGTCTATGAACCATGTCTCTTTATGTTGGTCCATGGGACTCCGATTGCCTACGCACCATGTCTCCTTTAGTTGGTTCGTGTCACTCATATTGTCTACGCACATTGTCACCTTATGTTGGTTCATGTAACTCCGATTGTCTACGCACCATGTCTCTTTATATTGGTCCATGTAACTCCGATCGTCTCATTTCAAATTTGTCAGTTCATACGACTGTGATGGTGTATGCACCATATCCCTCGTATCCTGTCAGTTCATGCGACTGCGATTGTTTATGCACCATGTCCTTTCAATCCTGTCAGTTCATGCAACTGCGATTGCTTATGCACCATGTCCTTTCCATCCTGTCAGTTCATGAGACTGCGATTGTTTATGCACCAAGTCCCTTCCTGTTAGTTCAAGAGACTCCGATTGTCTACGTACCATGTCACGTTTTGTCAGTTCATAAGACTTTCTAAGCACTATGTCTCATTCTGTCAGATCATGAAACTCCGATTGTTTATCACTCTGATCGCCTATGCACCATGTCTCGTTCTATGAGTTTAACCGATTATCTACATACCATGTCCAATAGTGTCAGTTTATGGGACCGCGGTTATTTACGTACGCAACATGTCAAATTCTGTCAGTTTATGAGACTGTAATTGTCTACGTACCATGTCTAATTTTGTCAGTTCATGCGACTTCGATTGCTACGCGCCATGTCCAACTCTGTTAGTTCATGTAACTCCTATTGTCTACGCACCATGTCCAATATTTTATGTTCATGCGACTGCGATTGATTACGCACCAAGTCGCATTCTGTCAGGGCGTATATGAACTTTATATCGACATCAAATGTAATAGTTACTAATCTCAATACAAATTTAAATTCACTTTTGAAAGTATTGATATACCTAGGCAACCAGCATAATTACGGTGCTGACATTTCAATATTTGATAACTATTCAAGATTTAAGATGAAATATAATCAACTTCTTGACACCGTTTAATTGCTTCCTCAGAGTCTACTCTGTCGTGGTTGCATGCAGACTTGTTCAGTAGCACCATTTTAACGAACTCTAGTGATAAAAATTTAGAAGGGCCAGACCGTAAAAATAAAAATTAAGACGTAAATACAGTTAGGCAAAGACACTCAATTTTTTTAATTTCCATTTAACGCAGTCCCGGTTCTAAAATAGAGACCATTAGATTAATATGAGCAATAAAAACAAATAAGTATGATTTGTGTTAGTACCTTCTTTTCATTAGTCATGCGCAGTATATCTTTGTCATCCTCATTCAGTCCTACTGTACCATCTACTAACTGACTTGGAATCTTGGACTCGTCCAAAGACAACTTATAGTACTTATCTCCGAACAAATCAAACTGTAATATTCAACAAATATATTATGTCTATAACTTCAAATGTATACATGTATATTATATGTTTATAACTTCGTATGTATATATGAATATATGGATGTAGGCAGGTTTGTACATATGCATGAATTGATGAATGGATTTATGAATCGACTGATGAGTGAACGGACGAATGGATGAATTGATGAATGGATTTATGAATCGACTGATGAGTGAACGGACGAATGGATGAATTGATGAATGAATTGATGAATCGACTGATGAGTGAACGGACGAATGGATGGATTGATGAATGGATTGATGAATCGACTGATGAGTGAACGGACGAATGGATGAATTGATGAATGGATTGATGAATCGACTGATGAGTGAACGGACGAATGGGTGGGTTGATGAATGGATTGATGAATCGACTGATGAGTGAACGGACGAATGGGTGGGTTGATGAATGGATTGATGAATCGACTTATGAGTGAACGGACGAATGGGTGGGTTGGTGAATGGATCGATGAATCGATTGATGAGTGAACGGACGAATGGATGAATTGATGAATGGATTGATGAATCGACTGATGAGTGAACGGACGAATGGATGGGTTGATGAATGGATTGATGAATTGACTTGTGAGTGAACGGACGAATGGATTGGTTGATAAATCGATTGGTGAATTGACTGATGAGTGAACGGACGAATGGATGAATGGATTGATGAATCGACTGATGAGTGAACGGACGAATGAATGAATTGATGAATGGATTGATGAATCGACTGATGAGTGAACGGACGAATGGATGGGTTGATTAATCGACTGATGGGTGAACAGACGAATGGGTAGGTTGATGAATGGGTTGATGAATCGACTGATGAGTGAACGGACGAATGGATGAATTGATGAATGGATTGATGAATCGACTGATGAGTAAAAAGACAAATGGATGGGTTGATGAATGGATTGATGAATCGACTGATGAGTGAACGGACGAATGGATGGGTTGATTAAATTGGATTGATTAAATGCATAAACTGATATAATACTGATATGTACGAATAATAACGATTTAGCTGATAGACGTAAGGACAAAAAGACAGACGGATGGATTGATGTCTGTCAGTCAGACTGACGGAAACAATGTTATCGAGTCCTAGAAATGATAAATCACTGTAGTCTGTATTTATCCAGCAATCGAACTTTCTACTATACAAATACAAGGTGGCATATTACATGAACCGGTAAACATAATTATAATAGACGTTCATATTCACCTGGTATACTGCTTCTGTTGCGAGCGAACGGTTATGTTCAAATAACTGTTAACGTAACAGTTGTATTTGGGGTCCTTATTGCCGTCCGCGTTGAAGTAATATCAATTTCATTCAACAACGATTGGAAGGGGGAAACTATAAGTTTAAGCCCAATGTTAGATTGCAAGATAAAACTATTTTCGTACAGTGTATGAAAATATAAAATTTATTTGTACTTGCTACGAAATAAGAGAAAAGCTCGGAGAGCCTCGCTTTTCTCTCTGTTTCTTAAGCTCGTCAAATACATTTTATATTTTCCCGCTCTGTATGAATATTGTATATGTATTTACTGTTTATTGTAATAGCTTTTTCTACCAATTCCTTATCAACCCAAAAGCAACAATATAATCCTAAGAGGTCTGCGCGTTGTTTTTTATTGGTTGAGGGTTGATACGGTGGATTATCTTGAAACAGCCTTATTATATACGCTTTAGAATATACTTGAAACATATGTTTTTTTCTGTTTTGGTTTAATAAATCCAATACAACTGTGACTGATATCGATGTCATGGCGCATGGCTTATACAGAACGAAGGCCATTGGTCGTATTACACAAACCCGATGTCATCGCACATGGCTTATACAGAACGATGGACATTGGTGGTATTACACAAACCCGATGTTATCGCGCATGGCTTATACAGAACGATGGCCATTGGTCGTATTACACAAACCGGATGTCACCGAGCCTGGCTTATACAGAACGACGGCCATTGGTCGTATTACACAAACCCGATGTCATCCCACATGGCTGTATACAGAACGACGGCCATTGGTCGTATTACACAAACCCGATGTCATCGCACATGGCTTATACAGAACGACGGCCATTGGTCGTATTACACAAATCCGATGTCATCGCACATGGCTTATACAGAACGACGGCCATTGGTCGTATTACACAAACCCGATGTCATCGCACATGGCTTATACAGAACGACGGCCATTGGTCGTATTACACAAACTTGATGTCATCGCACATGGCTTATACAGAACGACGGCCATTGGTCGTATTACACAAACCCGATGTCATCGCACATGGCTTATACAGAACGACGGCCATTGGTTGTATTACACAAACCCGATGTCATCGCACATGGCTTATACAGAACAACGGCCATTGGTCGTATTACACAAACCCGATGTCATCGCACATGGCTTATACAGAACGACGGCCATTGGTCGTATTACACAAACCCGATGTCATCGTACATGGCTGTATACAGAACGACGGCCATTGGTCGTATTACACAAAACCCGATGTCATCGCACATGGCTTATACAGAACGACGGTCATTGGTCGTATTACACAAACCCGATGTCATCGCACATGGCTTATACAGAACGACGGCCATTGGTCGTATTACACAAACCCGATGTCATCGCACATGGCTTATACAGAACGACGGCCATTGGTCGTATTACAGAAACCCGATGTCATCGCGCATGGCTTATACAGAACGACGGCCATTGGTCGTATTACAGAAACCCGATATCATCGCACATGGCTTATACAGAACGACGGCTATTGGTCGTATTACACAAACCCGATGTCATCGCGCACGGCTTATACAGAACGACGACCATTGGTCGTATTACACAAACCCGATGTCATCGCACATGGCTTATACAGAACGACGACCATTGGTCGTATTACACAAACCCGATGTCATCGCGCACGGCTTATACAGAACGACGGCCATTGGTCGTATTACACAAACCCGATGTCATCGCACATGGCTTATACAGAACGACGGCCATTGGTCGTATTACACAAACCGATGTCATCGCACATGGCTTATACAGAACGACGACCATTGGTCGTATTACACAAACCCGATGTCATCGCACATGGCTTATACAGAACGACGGCCATTGGTCGTATTACACAAACCCGATGTCATCGCACATGGCTTATACAGAACGACGGCCATTGGTAGTATTACACACTGCTTCCTTATATTCAAGACTAAAGTATATAAATTATTTAATATTTCTATTCAGCAAACTTTACAGCAATGTAGAATGTTTTTAATTAAACAAATGATGATTTAGCTCATTTATTTTACTAAAGTTCAAAATATACACTTATTTCTAGGTTCTGAAAATATTTGATGGAATGTTTTTGTATTTGATTTTCTACTCATTCCACAATTATTATACCAGCAAAGCCGACCAACATTTTAATGCGGTAGACGAAGTTAAAGGGATTCAACCCGTGAAAATTAACTACTTTTTAATAAATCCATTCTAAGCTATTCACAGAATCATTTGGCCTTACCTGCTTTGACAGTTTAAACTTAGGATATCTAGATAGAATATCTTGGATATCTTCTTCAGTGCCATCTGGTTGAAGTTTGATGACAATGTCTGTTGATTCAGAGTTCTGTTCGACGTTCAAATTACTTTCTGGCTTAGTTACATCGTCTTTGTTGTTGAGCTCAAATTGATTGCTTTGTAATCCGTTGACTAGAATTATCAGGACAATAAGCAGTGATGAAGCCATACTGTCAAATAAATAAGTCAATTATGCATAACGAATATCATGAATATATATATCACTGAAACAGTAACCCAACGACAGAAATAACAAATCCATATAGAAGTCAACAGTCTTCATCAATAGAAAGGTGCCTGTATATATCATTGATTTTCCCGTTTGAATTGTTTCCCATTTTATCATGTCGGAGCAATTTATAGTTTTCCCATACATGGTATGAGTTTTGCTCATTGCTGGAGGCTGTGCCGTGACCTAAATTTAAATTGTACTATAGTAGCATACCTATATAAACTTCATTTGGTCTGATGTGGATGTTTGTCTCATTGACATTAATACTACATCTTCATATATAAAACAGATAGAATATCTTGTATTCAAAATTGCATGTAACTTCCAATGGTGAATTGTACAGCTGTGTGTCGATCCTTTTTCGTAGAAAATAGTTTAAAATGACTTGAATTTTCAGATGTACTTACATTTTGATTTAAGCAACTGGTTACAATGAAAGTTTATAGATATACATACATAGCAGTGTATTCCTATTCAAAACACCAGGAAACATATATAATCTGTTTAATCATAGCAAAGTTTAGTTATAAACGGACACATATATCCTTAACTTTAGTTCACTGACACCATTAATCTCTCAAGAATGTCATTGCACTTATTGTCGACTCAAAATGTAATTTTAATAAGATATGGAGTCTCTCCGACTTATAAAGAATAAGTTCATAATCATTAGCCATAGAAACTGGTAGGTATGCAATATCAATTATACCCTCTAATGAGAGATTTTGTAAATTTTGCACAGGTCATCTTGAAAATGAGATACATTTCTTGATCAAATGTCCCCGATATACCAAACTTAGATCTATATAGAACATCAAAAATATAGATACAAATAATGTGAATGAAAAATTTTCAAAATTAAAAACCCAAACTCCGAAAAAGAATTAAAATCTGTTTGTGTGTATATACACGTTACAAGAACCTTATTCACCAAAGAAAATCATAGAAATAAAAATATCTTATGTAGAAAACTCATACAGGTATTTACGGGAAATCTATTCCTGTCGTTTGATGAAACGC